GATATTTTTCTGGTTTGCTTGATAAACATTTTGGTTTTCAATGTGGTGTCTTTTGCAACAGCTGGTTCCTGCACAACCTTTCAATTGGCATCTCTGACAAACACCATAAGGAGACTTTTCCAGTTCCGGCAGTAAGTATCTTCTAATTAAGCTCATGATGAGCAAAAGAAAAGCTCCTATCTCTTTCAGAGGGTATTGCATCATGTCAGCTAGTCAGGCTCTGAGCTCATAACAAGTCATGTTGTACTTCAAAGGAGAGATACGCAGGAAAGACCTGCTGCTTTGCAGCGTGTCTTTGGGAGCGCACCCTTCTCCCGGCAGGGACAGCACTCCTAGATGCCCAGAGGAGCTTGATGCAAGAGGATGATCACCTCTGCTGGCTTCGGCTAAGGTGACTCACTTCGCTTTTTTTTATTTTCCCTCTCTCATTTCAAGTGGCAGAGGCCCTCACTACAGTGAAAAAAATAAACCGATGCTACTTTTAAAGGTGCCGGCAACTTGGCTACTGTAATGCTAATATGCTGCTAATATGTTGCATTCAAAGAGCTGTGAGGGGAGCGGCAATGCCATGGAGGCTAAAGAACCCACACCACACACACACAAAGGTTGTAGCAAGCTAAATGTACTATATTTGTTTGAATGTAGTCCTGTGTTCTCCAAATTTCAGTGTCCTCCCCCAATGTCTCAGAGTAAAGAGAGTCCCAGAACAGTTGAGGTTGGAAGGGGCCTCTCGAGATCATCCAGTCCAACCCCGTACTCCATCAGGGACACCCAGAGCAGGGGCACAGGGTGGCAGCCAGGTGGGTTTGAAGATCTCCAGAGAAGGAGCCTCCACAGCCTCTCTGGGCAGCCTGTGCCAGGGCTCTGAGCCCCTCACAGGAAGGAAGTTCTTCCGCAGAGGAGATGGAACTGCCTGGGTTTCATTTTTTACCTATTACCCCTTGTCCTATTGCTGGCCACCATGGAGAAGAGTTTGGCCCCATCCTCACTACATCCTTTCCTCAGGTACTTATACAGATTGATCAGGTCTCCTCTCAGGCTTCTCTTCTCCAGACTAAACAGGCCCAGCTCACTTAGTCTTTCCTCATATGACAGATGCTCCACTCCCTTCATCATCTTTGTCGTTCTATGCTGGACCCCCTCTAGAAGCTCCACGTGCCTCTTGTCCTGGGGAGCCCAGAGCTGCCCCCAGTGCTCCAGATGCCTCCCCAGGGCAGAGCAGAGGGGCCGGGTAC